CACTGCCAGTTGTGCAACTGTAAATAAGCAGTAGATTTTCGGTGCGGAAAGCAGGGTCATATTGACCTTTGATTGCTATCTCCAGCTGCATGAGAAAGCCAGCTGTGCCAAGTAACTCTTTGCAGAGGCCAAATCATTTTGGCACTGGGGTGGAGTGGTAATGCTGGCTGTTGGTGGAATGCCTTCAAGAGTTCAGAAGGAGAACCAGATTTTAAGTTAACAGCAGCAGGAACGTCCTCTTGACCAGTGGCCATTGCTTTTTGATTATCTGTTCACACGGAGAAACTTCAAAGAGACCCTGCTTAGGCTCTGAATTCCTTGGCTTTAGAATCACTCTAAACAACCCGAGGGAGATATTTCCTTATCTCAGTCTACGTAGTCCTGGTCTACGTAGCCCAGTGTTGGCGAACCTTTTCAGCACTGAGTGCCGAAACGAAGAGCGCACCTGCGTACCGGCCACCGGATCTTCCGGTTTCTGGCACGCATGTGCACGCAAAGACCAGCTTGACTGGTGAGCACGCACACACCAGAAACAGGAAGATCATCTTCTTGGCACGCACATGCGCACCAGGCAGCTGATCTTCTGGTTCCTGGTGCTCCCACATGCGTGAAGACCAGCTGGCCGGCGTGCCAGAACCCGGAAGAGCAACGGGTGATGGCTCGCGTGCCCGGAGAGATGGCTCTGCGTGCCACTTCTGGCATGCGTGCCATAGGTTCGCCATCAAGGACGTAGGCTCTGGAAGACTAGGGTGGGACCGGTCTCCTCTCCTTGATCTTCAGCAACCAAAGAAGGGGTGGTCTACTGGGCCTCTGGAGGGTTAACCAGTGGCCCGATTGCATGATGACACTAAAGCACCTACAAATTTGTCAAATTTCAAAACCCAACAGGGTAATAGGTCGCGGATTTTGGTTGCATTCTGTAAGTTAGCCCATTTGAGTACCTTGGTTCAAAAATTGTTGCCTCACAATTCAGAGTTTTGTCCAGTTAAGGGTTACAGACACAATCTTGTTTTTAGTAGTATATATACCCATTGGGTCATCCTTTGAGAGAAAAGTAGTGCAGTCTGATATGATCAAAATGAACATTAATTTTTAGCTGGCCGTATTTTTTTTTTAATCCCAATGTAGGGCAGTCCTGTGATCATCTAAGAAGAACGTATATCTTCAATAAGAAAACAGTTGTAATGGCGAACAAACATTAGTCAATATAATTCCAACTTTCGACTTCCTGCTGTCTCCCCTACTGATTTTGCTTGTGGGAAGCTGGCAGGAAGCATCCGAAATTGTGATCACGTGATCGCAGGGATTCATCAATGGCCACAACTTTGTCAACAAAACTGGTCTGAAGATCATGGAAGTTTCAATTCCACAGGAGTCACGGGTCCTGGATTGTTTTTACACGTTCTTTAAGTTGGTGGATTTTAGGTACTTTGATTCGAAAATCGTTGCAAAAAATAACGCAGAGTTTGGGCCGATACCATAAATCAGATAATCGCTATGAGAACTATAGCAGGATAGATAGATAGATAGATAGATAGATAGATAGATAGATAGATAGAGATGGAGATGGAGATGGAGATGGAGATAGAGATAGAGATAGAGATAGGGATGCTGAGGCATGACACAATTTCCCAACGTTATCATAGCATCTTGTAGGCGTTGGAAGTTAATATCTGTCAGACTAAAACCGCTGTACTCACATGGACTCTCACCATAATTTAAACAGAATGACCTAGTTGTAAATCATACTGGGAACAACTTAGGGCAACAGGCTTCCTGCTGTAGAAGTTCATCCTTTGCTATAGGGAGGGCAGGGCTGGGTGTGGTGCAGGAACACAAGAGAGTTACATAGCCTGTCCAAGTGCACAATTTTACTTTTTTTTTAATTTTTTTTTTTAATTTTAACCTTGTGAATAAACTTTTAAAGTGTATGGCATTGTTGTATCTGAACAAAACCCAGCTTTTTAGACAGGCAAAACTCTGAAGACAGAGCTAAGAGTTTTGAGGAGGCCTTGCTTTGCTTTACACACTGGTCCCAGATTTGATCGTTGATAGCTCTTGGTTCAGCTGGGAAAGGCCTCCAGATTGAAACCAGGTGCAGGGAGGTCAGTTCATGTGCAGGGAGCCCTCAATTTGCAACCACAATCCAGCCCAAATTGCCTTTTGCTAAGCAAGACGGTTGTTAAAGTGGGTTGTGCCTCCTTTTACAACTTTTCCTGTCCCGGTTGTTAAATGCATCACTGCAGTTGTTAAGTTGCGGTTGTTAAATGAATCCGGCTTCCCCCATTGATTTTGCTGGTCAGAAGGTCACAAAAGATAATCGCATGACACTGGGACATGGCAACCGTCATAAATACATGCCAGTTGAATTTTGATCACGTGACCATGGGGATGCTGCAACGGTTTGTAAGTGTGAAAAACGGTCATAGGTCACTTTTTAAAGTGCCATTGTAACTCTGAACAGTCACTAAACAAATGGATGTAAGTCAAGGACTACCTGTAAACAGTGTTGGCCTACAGGGATCAAAGGTTTGATTTTTATGTGTGTCATATCTACTCAGTGCTCCACTGAGCAAGCCATGATTCCCTGTCTGCCATTTTTGGCATAGAGATGTGCTCTTGTATAGGGGTCGTTGTGACCCAGACCTGTCAAACTTGTGGCCTGCGGACCAGATACGTCATGCGCAGGCCACGCCACTGGTGGCATTCAGCCGGTTCTAGCCGGTTCGGGCGAATTGGTAGCGGCAGCTGCGGGAGGCTCCACCCACCTGCCCGGACGTCATCACGTCTCATTTTTGACGTTCTGCACGGAGGTGGCGCGTGCGTGAGTGAAGCAGATGGTAGTCCGCTCTCAATCTAGCAGCCATCTCCAAAGTGAACTTCATGCTGACCCCATGAGGCTGCCTTTTTCAGTGTGTGTGTGTGTGAATGCCCCTGTGCCCAGCATGTGGTTCCATTTCCTCTCATCGCTTTTCCCTGAAATCCGTTTTCTGGATAAGAGTGTCACTGTTGTTTGTCTTTTCAGCTGCTTCTTACTCAGACCTTCCAGCTCGATTTGTTGCAGCCCATTTCGTTTCCTTTCCCTTTTCCTGAAAGGAAACTCTTAACCATCCTCTCTCGCTGGGGTTGGAAGGCTCACTGGGGAAATCTCTGTTTCTTCAGTTGAAGCAAAGCACGTGGGACAACTGCCAAGAAGCTTGGCTGAAGCCAAAAGCTGGAGAATCCATCTCTTCCTGGGTTTCAACCTTGTGGAGATCGGGGCAGATGCTTACAGGGGCATTCCCCTCCTTCTAAACCAGGGTGTCCAACCTTGGGAACTTGTAAGACCCGTGGACTTCAACTCCCAGAATTCTCCAGCCAGGTGGGAATTCTGGGAGTTGAAGTCCACAGGTCTGCCAGGTTGGACACCCCTGTCTAGACCTACTTATAGTTAGGTTGAATTTTTGCTGGTAGCCCTGAATCTGGTGCATTGTGTCCCCTCTTCTCTTAGGACAGAGATAACCTGGTGTCCAAGCATGGCTATCTTTGTTCCTGCAAATGGAATCCATGACCCATCGACTCCTCAGGGTATTAGGGTGACAGACAATATCTCTGCTCAAGCTGGAAAAATGGCTGACAGGCAGTATCTGTCCAACTGTGGAGCCTCCTGAGGCAGATTTTCCTTAAAAGAAAATGGAGCAATTTGTCCTCTGTGCTTGTATGAAACACAGAGTTTTAATACACTGAATTCCATGAAGGAAAGAAAGATAGTATGGAACATCAGGTGGTTTTTATGATAAGAAAAATATTCAAAGATATTTACTATTGTGCACTGTGCCTGTACAGTAGGCTTATAACCATTCATTTAGCGACTGTTCAAAGTTAAAAAAGTGACTTATGATTGGTCCTCATACTTATGACCATCACAGCCTACCCATGGTCACATGATCTAAATTTGGGCACTTAGCAACTGGCATGTATTTATGATGGTTGCAGTGTCCTGAGGCCATGTGATCATTATTTGTGACCTTCCCAGTTGCTTTCCAACAAGCAAAGTTAATGGGGAATACTGGATTCGCTTAATGACCACTTGGTTCAATTAACAACTGCCATGATTCACTTAATAACCATGCCAGAAAAAAGAAGGTAAAATAGTGTGATTCACTTAACAATCAACTTGCTAGGCAATGGGAATTTTGGTTCCAATTGTGATCATAAGTCAAGGACCGGTGTGGCTGCTGTTGCTGCTACTGTCATTCAGTTGCACAGGCATCAAAAGATTTTAGTCAAATTTAATCAAATGAATAATAAGACCAAGTGGGGACAGTAGTCCCAGGAATGACCCCAAGGCTGCCTGGTAGAGAAACATCCTTGGGCATTGACATTTCCTTCTATAAATAGGTGGATAGGCCTAGTTTCAGCCCTGAAAGAGGCAGCGTATATCTTTCAATGCTCTGGAGTGATAGCTATAGCACTTAGACTTATACACCGCTTCACAGTGTTTTACAGCCCTCTCTAAGCGGTTTACAATATCAGCATCCCCAACAATCTGGGTCCTCATTTTACTGACCTCAGAAGGATGGAAGGCTGAGTCAACCTTGAGCCAGTTAGGATCGAACTCCTGGCAGTGGGCAGAGTTAGTCTGCAATATTGCATTTTAACCACTGTGCCACCACAGCGCCTGCCTCCATGATCAAGTGGTTGAGCACTCAATGTCCGGTCATGTGATCAAGGAGGGAGGGGTGACCATCAAAACTTAAAATCCACGTCATAAATGCCCCATAAGTAGGTTTGTTCAAACTTCAAACAGTTGTTAAGCGACCAATCACAAGTCTATCTGTAAGGTGACAGGATGAAGAGTAGGGCCTCCAGGTGTCTGATTCTAAAATCAGGCAGGTTTCTATGAACCCCGCAATTCAACATACATCCTTTTGTTAGCTTGATAGGAGTAGAACAAGATTTCCAAGCACAGCTTATGCCTGACCACTATTTCTTTCTTTTTCTTAATTTCTTACTTTCAGGATGAATTCCATCCTTTCATTGAGGCCCTCCTCCCTCATGTCCGGGCCTTCGCCTACACCTGGTTCAACCTCCAGGCCCGGAAGCGCAAGTACTTCAAGAAACACGAGAAACGGATGACGAAAGATGAGGAGCGGGCTGTCAAAGACGAGCTGCTCAACGAGAAGCCGGAAGTGAAACAGAAGTGGGCTTCGCGCTTGCTGGCCAAGCTGCGCAAGGACATCCGCCCCGAGTACCGGGAGGACTTTGTGCTCTCCATCACGGGGAAGAAGCCCTCGTGCTGCGTCCTCTCCAACCCCGATCAGAAGGGCAAAATGCGCCGAATCGACTGTCTCCGCCAGGCTGACAAAGTCTGGCGTCTCGACCTCGTCATGGTGATCCTCTTCAAAGGAATCCCCCTGGAGAGCACCGATGGGGAACGCCTTGTCAAGGCCGCACAGTGCACCAACCCTGTCCTCTGTGTCCAGCCACACCACATCAGTGTCTCGGTCAAGGAGCTTGACCTCTACCTGGCATATTTTGTCCGCGAGAGAGGTAGGCTTCCAAGATGGTTGTCACTTAGGATTGGGCCCATTCAGGAGGGAGTTTTTCTCAGTAATCCTTATCTATGATGTTGTAGGAGCCTGATGGAGGGGTCAAACGCGTCATCAGTCATGAGTCCCTGCGTGCCCACAAGAGATCTAACCCCAGCCCACCTTGAATATCTTCTTAATTCCTGCTCATTTCCCTTGACAGTTAGTTCTCGATTTACAACAGTTCATTTAGTGACCGTTCAAAGTTACAACGGCACTGAAATAAGTGACTTATGACCATTTTTCACACTTAAGACCATTGCAGCATCCCCATGGTCATGTGATTTACATTTGGATGCTTGACAGCTGGTTCATATTTATGATGGTCGCAGTGTCCTGGGGTCATGTGCTCCCCTTTTGCAATCATCTGACAAGCAAAGTCAACGGGGAAGCCAGATTCCCTTAACAACCGTGTTACTAATTTAACAACTGCAGCGATTCACTTAACAAATGCGGCAAAAAAAAAAAAAGTCGTAGAATGGGTCAAAACTCACTTAACAAATTTCTCACTTAGCAACGTAAACGTTGGGTTCAATTGTGGTCGTAAATTGAGGACTGTCTGTAGCTCCAATTCTTATAGAGCGCTGAAGCTTGCAATAACTATACTCGTTTGAACCGCTGGAATTGCCTGATTTCCCTGGCGGTTGACAGACATGGAAGGGAACTTACTGATTCAGAGGACAGGGCACTATTAATACAGGTAGGCCTTGATTTACGACCACAATTTGAGCCCAAAATTTATATTCGGTCATAAGTGGGGGGGGGAAACGGCCATATTACATTTTTCAGAGCTGTTGTAACTTTGAACAGTCGCTAAATGAAAGGTGGTAATTCAAGGACTGCCTGTCCACCAGGGCAGCTCTGTAATATTGGATGAGGCCCAGAAGAATGTGGTTGACATTGTGAAAAGCAAGAAGTTTGGTTTCATGCGTCATGAGTCAAATCTAAATCTAGTTATCATCCTGTCATTATTAGCCATGAAACTTGGTAATGGAGTCTCTTGGTTCAGAGGTAGTCTGCTGCTGAATAAGAAACTAAGAAGAAGCATATCCAGAGAAGATATTTTTGTGTCCCCCTTCGGGGTCTCCATGTGGGTACCACATTGATCATTGGTTGCAGGGGTGGGTTCTAAATTTTTTTACTACCGGTTCTGTGGGTGTGGCTTATTTTGTGGGCGTGATTTGATGGTCATGTGACAAGCAATTCTTTAGGATTTAGCAGAGGTACTGGTCTACCAGACTTTTAACTGCTTGCAGAGCCGTACCAGTCTACCCATTTGTTTTTGGAGGCACTGGTCTACTCATTTGTTTTTGGAGGCACCGGTCTACCACCACACTGCCTTTTACCTCTGATCAGCTGTAGGGCGGCCCTTTGAAGCCCTGCGGCAAGAGTTTAAACAGTTTTTTTCCTTCTAGCCGATCAGCTGGGACTCGGGAGGCAGCGAATAGATTGGGGGCGGGGCCAAATAAAAGGTAAGAATACCGCGGGGGTGGGTGGGGTGGGCGGGAGGGCCCAGTTCCCAAACAAAGAGAACCGGTTCGGTGACGTCATACCATCACCGCTACTGACTCGGCCGAACCGGGCGGAACCCACCACTGATTGGTTGGAAGCAGCAGATGGGTTCAGTAGTCTAAGCCAGCAAGGTTCTTTTAATGGAAGACAATGGCAATTAAGCCATGATGGTTACATAAAGAACTGTCACGTTTAGTGGTTGTGTCTCTTACTTACAGGTACTGAGTATGAAATACAGTTGCGGCCCTTTGCTTTCTACCCTGTCGGTGGCCTTCTACAGATAGTCCTCGACTTACAACCATTTGTGACCTTCCCAGTTTCGCTTAACGACCATATGACTCCCTTCATTGCAATGATTTGCTTAACAAGTGGGGCAAAAAGGCTGTAAAATCCGACACGACTCACTCAACAACCGCCTTGCTTAGCAACAGGAATTCTGCTCCCAATTGTGGTCGTAAATCAAGGACTACCTGTAAAAGGCACCTCAGTGGAAGACTTTTCTGTCCGGGTGAATATCCCTTTTTTGTAGCACCGTACTTGGGGTGGGGGACTATCGTCATTTCTGGGATATTTCGAGAGGATATAATAACAACATGCAACTTCAGTGCAGTGGTTTGTACGCATTGCGGAGTATTTTGGATACATGCAGAAGAAATTGAATATACTTGGTTAGTTTCATAAGAGAATGATACTGTAGAATACTTAGTGCTGAGATTAGTTCTATAGCAGTGGATAATTAATTGTGGGATTGGGTCTCAAGGTAAGAATATTTGAAAGCTACTGGATTTATGTCAGGAATCAAATCCCTTTCAGTTGCCCTTATGCAAATTGGCTTCATGAGACTCATCAAGGCCATAACTGAATTAAAACCAAGGTTTCTCGGTTTTAAAAAAACCATCTAAGTAGTGCAGATCTAAGGTTTTATAAGCAAACTGCCCCAAGTTCATTAAAGCCTTCTAAATAAAGACAGGCGTTTACTTTAGAATTTGCAAATCGGTATAAAAGAAAGGGGTACTGGGTCACATTTTTAAAAATTTTTATTTATTTTTATATGCTGCCCTTCTCCGGAGACTCAGGGCGGCTTACAGCGCGTTAAGCAATAGCCTTCATACTTTTGTATATTTTATACAAAGTCAGTTTATTGCCCCCACAAACCGGGTCCTCATTTTACCCACCTTAGAAAGGATGGAAGGCTGAGTCGACCTTGAGCCTGGTGAGAATTGAACTCGCAGTAATTGCAGGCAGCTGGATGTTAAATGCTGCCTTAGTAGGAGGCATTAGCCTCCTACGCCACTCAGACTCCTTTCAGCGTAGTGCCTATAGAAATTAGGACTTCGCATTTGCTTTCATCAAGAACTCTTCTGCCTTACTTATTGACATAGCAGGGGGTTGGACTAGAAGACCTCTAAGGTCCCTTCCAACTCTATTATTCTGTATTCGGCTGCATGAAGCCAAACCAACATTTCAAGTCTTAATGAGGTTGCTTACCACCTGCAGGTGTTGGAGGGAGCATTAGTGGTCAGAAACAACAAGGGGGTGAATGGAGCGTCATGGAGTGTCAAACCCCACCCCTTATGTCCATGCATCATTTAAAAGGGGGCAGGGCTTGCATTGTGATACTCCTGCTGAATTTAACCCTCCCAATGCCATTGGATATATCACAATATGTGAAAAAAGTCAATCTGACTTTGTTAGTAGGTAAGATAGAGGTGTCCTCTTTGGATAATGGTGGCTTAATTTATGTTACCCTCAAAGTCTTAGGTTTGGTCCCCAGCTTCTCCAGGTGGAAAGGAGACAAGGAGAAGCCACTTTGTATCCCGGAGAGTCAGAATAACTGAGTTGGAAGGGACCTTGGAGGTCTTCTAGTCCAACCCCCTGCTCAAGCAGCAAGCCTTATATCATTTCAGACAGATATTTGTCCTAGTAATAAAGGAGAATATTTGTACCTCAGGATTGACATGAGGGGGTCCTTGGTGCTCTCTCACCTTGCTTGTTTTCTTGCAGACGGTTCATTACTTAAACTAGGTAACATTATCAGTGCTAGTGAGTGTTGAGGAATTCGCAGAGCAACCCTAGAGTAGCAAGGGTGTGCACATGAAAGCGACTGAGAGCAGTTGCAAATAATCACAGCCAACGCACAGATACGCTGAGTTGTGTTTACTTTTAGGAAATAGCAATAAGGCACAGTCCAATAAACAGTCCAGGTCATACACAGATAAAGCAGTAGATAGTAAACAATAGTCCAGGGATATTCCAATAACAAAGTCTTTTTTTTAAAAAAAATTGATTTATATGCCGCCCTTCTCCGGAGACTCAGGGCGGCTTACAGTGTGTTAAGCAATAGCCTTCATCCTTTTGTATATATATACAAAGTCAGCTTATTGCCCCCACAAACTGGGTCCTCAATTTACCTACTTTAGAAAGGATGGAAGGCTGAGTCAACCTTGAGCCTGGCGAGATTCGATCTTACTTTAATTGCAGACAGCTGGTGTTAAATTACAGAGCTCTGTCTGTTGAGCTATCCAGGCTCAAGGTTGAAGACTGGTAAGTCTTCTTACCAGTCGTCATAGTCATACACAATAAACAGTTGCAAAACAGTAGCAAACACAGCAAATAGCAGTAACGATCAGTAACAGTTCAGCAAAGAGTAGTAGAGAGCAGCAGAAAGAAACTAACCATGTTTCAAGCTCCCTCTTAAGGACATTGGCTACAGAGCTAACCAATCAGGACACAGTATGATGCAATACAGCAATACAGTCTTAAAGCTATATTGAGGTTTTATATATTGCCAACCCAACAAGTTAGGTAATTATCATTTCCTAACAGTGAGGAGTGTAGTTTGCTGTCAGGTTATATTCTGGCTTGCCTGTCTGTGTTGGTTGGGCTGTTTACTGTTGGCTCTTTGGCAGTTTCTTGATTCGGGTATTTTTTACTTGATTGTTGATTCTGATGCTAACCTTGGAAATCTGCAGAGAACCAGGCTTAATTGCAGTGACTGTGAGAGGGATCTTGGAGTCTTAATGGACTATCAGCTAAATATGAGCCAGCAGTGTGCAGCGGCAGCCAAAAAAGCCAATGCAATCCTAAATTGCATTAACAGAGGGATACAATGAAGATCAAGTGAGGTACTAATACCACTCTATAAAGCCCTGGTGAGACCACACCTAGAGTACTGCATCCAGTTTTGGTCACCACACTATAAAAAAGATGTTGAGACTCGAGAAAAAGTGCAGAGGAGAGCAACCAGGATGATTAGGGGACTGGAGACTAAAACATATGGTTACATGAACTGGGCATGGCTAGTCTAGTGAAGAGAAGGAGCAGGGGAGACATGATAGCAGTCTTCCAATACTTGAGGGGCTGCCACAGAGAGGAGGGGGTCAAGCTGTTTTCCAAAGCACCTGAAGGCCAGACAAGGAATAATGGATGGAAACTGACCAAGGAGAGATTCAACCTGGAAATGAGGAGGAACTTTCTGACAGTGAGAAGAATCAACCAATGGAACAGAAGTTGCCTTCGGAAGTTGTGGGAGCTTCATTACTTGAGACCTTCAAGAAAAGATTGGACTGTCATTTGTAAGAAATGGTGTATGGTCTCCTGCTTTGGACTAGATGACCTGTAAAGTCCCTTCCAACTCTGTTAATCTGTTAAATCAGTCTCATCTTGATTAGTTTCCATCTTTTGCTTCTTGTCCCTGCCTTCAGGTGCTTCGGAGAATAGGTTGACCCCTTCATCTTTGTGGCAGCCCATCAGATATTGGGACACTGCTATTATGTCACCCCTAGTCCTTCTTTTCACTAAACTAGACATACCCAATTAGCGCAACTATTCTTCCTTAGTTTTAGCCTCCAGTCCTCTAATCATTTTATTTTATTTATTTTATTTAGTTAGTTTGTCAAACATGTACAGGATAACAGGTATAAGTATAAACATGGACATGAACGAAGGAAATGAATACAAATAAGTGGGGACAGTAGGACAGGGACGGTAGCCACGCTGGTGCGTTTATGCACACCACCTTACACACCTCTTAGGAATGGTGTGAGGTCCACGATAGAAAGTTTAAGGTTGAAGCTATGGAGGTTTGAGGATGTAACAACGGAGTCAGGTAGAGTCTTCCAGGCATTGACCACTCTATTGCTGAAGTCGCATTTTCTGCAATCGAGTTGGGAGTGGTTTACCTTGAGTTTGCATCTATTGTTTGCCCGTGTATTATTGCGGTTGAAACTGAAGTAGTCATTGACAGGTAGGACGTTGTAGCAGATAATTTTGTGTACTATGCTTAGGTCAAACCGTAGGCGGTGCAATTCAAGGTTGTCCAAGCCCAAAATTTCAAGCCTGGTGGCGTAAGGTATTCTATTGCGAGCAGAGGAGTGGAGTAATCTTGTTATGAAATACCTCTGGACTCGCTCAATTGTATTAATGTCCTATATACAGTGTGGATTCCAGTCAGACGAGCTGTATTCAAGGATTGGTCTGGCAAAAGTTTTGTATGACCTAGTTTGTAGTACAGACTTTTTTATATCACGGCGACCAAAACTGGACCATCTGATTGGGGTGAAAGGACAAATAGTCTCACATCACAGGAGGAAGCTGAGTGCCTCTAAGACACTGAAAGTATAAAAAACTGCTTCACCCAGTTAATTCCCCAAACCTCCTCCAATAATTTGGCTGGGCTACTCAATCCAGCATTCCTACTCCTCTCCTGCCAACCAAAATGCTGGCTGAGACTGATGGGCGTTGCTATCCAGCCTATCTGGGGAGCCGGAGGTTGGGAAAGCTTGACCTTGTGGTTACTGTGGTGGTTGTTTGCAATGCCTCTTCCCTGCCTGCTTTCTCTTAAAATGACATTTCAGAATTCTCTGCAACATCTGGAGGACAGAATGAAGGAGACAGCAGCATTTCCTCTTCTTGCTTCCCCACACACTCACCCAACTCACACACAATAAAGGAGAGAGGA